CGTCTGTAATTTTTTTAATTATATCGCTATAAATGGAATGGTGAACGATTTAAAAAACTGTTAATCGTATTACACGCCATTAACATCCATAAAATCATATAAAATATATAATGGCAACAATTTTGTACTATTTATTCGTATATGATATGTATGAAACAATTAGAAAACTTAAAATTTTATTCAATATTTTAATGAAAATATTACATTATTAATTAATGTTACTAACTCATGATTTACTTGATTGCTTTATGCTCGTCACTAGTCGTAACAGTTTCGTTATTAATTCAAAATTAATCTTTCAAAGTCAGAATTATGTAATTTACCAAACGTCAGACATTAAAAATTAGATTGAAGATTTCACATAACAAAAAAAAGAACAGCAAGTTACGCTATGGCAGTATGAAGATTGAAACTATATTGGCCGAGATATATATCACAAAAATTGAGATCGATGATGCCTGAACTATTATTTTCAGAATTTCGAGAATTATTTAGAAGTTAAAAGGTGAAGATAAAAAAGAAAACATTTTGTTAATCTGTCAACTAAAGAAATACATTCACAGAGCAAACTTTACGCAGTTACGCCTGTTTTTGTGGAAGGGGACACGAGAGACGAAAGATAAATTTGAATACGATGATAGATGTATCAAGCATCTCTTGTTGTTTGTGAATGTAAATTGAACGCTTTTCCCTTTACGAAGCGAGGACTCAGTTTTACATTTTCTACCTGCGAGACTTCATATCGTACTTTCTTTTCCAAATGGAAATAGTAGAACGAAACAAAACCGTGCGTAATGTGTTTACACAAAACCACAAGAGAAAGGTTTGTGATTGCAAATATTTACAGTGAACATGTCACCGAACCAAAAATTCTGACGCTTTGTAGACTGATTTGATTCCTTTTTAAAAATTTAATTATTACCTTGAATTTTATATAATTGCAATATTTTTTTAAAGTTTCTTATGTGTTATTTTTTTTTTATATAAAGAATGTTATTTTCCATGTCCACATGGAGAGAATTTTCTCTTAAAATTTACCTTGAAATCATGGTAGTTGTGGGTCAACGTACCACCAAGAATTTTATGCGAGCTATTCTGATTAATATCTACCATAATAAAAGATATTAATATCTATTACATTAAAATATAAATAAAATATGTTTGATTAATTTTACTAAAATATATCTAGGAAATTTCAATAATTTTTCAAAATTTACCAATTTGCTTGGTAATTTTGATCACGTTGTAAAATGTTTTTTGTATATTTTAAAAATTCCTTGGTTGCCAAGTTGTCCCGTAGTGAATTTAAGGGTAAAATATACCAAAAAATTTTCTCCGTGTAATATTAACACAAAATACAACATTATTATTTATATTACACTCTGGCAGTTTCGGCATTCAAGATATAATCATAATATATTCATTAATTAATTAACAAATGGAGGAGACAAAGATTCAATTATTCAACCAAACAAATACATGTGTATGATGTATATGATGTAATTAATTATAAATAATTGTGTCCTTGATGTGAAACAGCGCAAAGCTTTCAAATTTATCAAAAATTTCGCGAAATTGATATGAGTGCGATCGACAAACGTTGTATGCTGACGAGAATCTCGTTGCAACATTGCCATTGGCAATACGCAATGCACGGTAAAGTGCAATCTGCGATTCGATATGCGATGCACGCCAATCACTTTAATAGACAATCGTATATAGCACGTCGTTTGTTGATCTGCGTTTTTACGCCTATCAGACACCATTTCAACAAGAAAAAAGATAATTTTTTTCGACACGCTTATTATTTGGGCGCCGTTAAATTGTAACATTTATTAAACGACACGTTTAATTACCGTAGCAGACGCGCGCAATGTTAATCGCTCGATTGAAATTGCGGGAGTGGCGTAGTATTAAGCCGCAATTGAATGTTAGCTGTGAATCAGTGATGCAGCTTGTATCGCGTGGCAACGATATCCGTGATCAACAAAGAGCTCATCAATGTTTCCATTGCGCCCCTGCAAAAAATCCGATAGATCGTATTGAAAAAACACTGATGTCAAGTGTGATCTGCCTCGTTTTTCTTTATTGAAAATTTTACCTTTTTGTACGAATTTTGCACTATAATTCTCGATTTAATTTCTATCCCAGAGAATTTTTATTTATGTGATAATGTAATCGATAGAAAAAATATATTTCCAGAAATTTGCAAATTTTTTTTGTATAGAAAATCTAATTTTGAATAATAGAAAATTCATCAAAATTATTTTGCCTTATTTTGTACAATAGTGTAAAAATTATGTCAATGTTAATTAACGAACGGGTAAAACTTATAAATTTTGCCTTTAATGTTAGATTATTACGTTTGCAATTCCCGTCATCAATGAATATCGTTCATGATCGTGCACATAACACATGCAGTTTCCACTTTCCAATTTCGATGCTTGCTCGTATTTGGATTCAATTATTGGTCATATAACGACCACTTTCGATTGGCATCACAGAGCGTTTGATTGCCTTGAGACGAATTAGGTGAATATTATGCAACTATATTATTTGATTGGGTCCCGCTAAATGGCAAGAAAATCTGTAAATTGGACAAAGTCGATCGCTATCTGTAACTGCACCAGGAAATTGCGGTATATGTTCGCCGAGCGTATCTCTGTGAATTAACGATGCAACTGGTAGTATCTGACGCAGTACGTGATCAACGAGAAGGGCTCTCTATCGGCGTTTGCCCGATGTTATCGATCTACCACGAAAAAAATGCCGTACGTGCATGAACGACTGTGCGAACCGATTCGTAAAATTGGACGGAATTTTTTAACATATACATATAGACCAAAACGTATTGTCACATCCATCGAATTACACTGAAGTTTCGTATGTTCTATGATGTGAAAACGAGATATAATTGCAAAAAGGAAAACACCATCGGTATTTGAGTGCCTGTTGTGTGATATACTAAAATTGTTCTAGCAAACGTATTTAATTGGAAAAAAACAACGGAATGTTTAATTAATTTAATTTTTGCGCAATTTATTTATGTTTACTTATGGTTACTAATTTTTTGAATTGATTTGACTATGTTGACGTAATATCGATAAGCTCAATTTTAACTCTAAAAATTGCTTTATCTCAAGACATAGAGCGTTATTAATTATCATTCTAAAAGCAGCAGCGTTATTATTAATTATTATTAATAACGCTACTGCTTTTAGAATAGAAATCAACGACCGCAATTATTGCATACACACACATATATAAGTAGTCTGGTGTTTTATTTATTCACTGCCGTAACGTTCGATCTTGCTTTAGGCTTTAGTCGAGACGAATCTTTCCGGTAGCGAAGTGTCTTTCGTGATCCTCTTTGATGAAACTTTATTCATTTCGGTTCCTGTAATCTGACTTAATTAAACTTCCACTTCTCGCCCCGCTATCCACCCCCCTTTAAGGCGGATTAACCGAACGTACCATCTTAAGTCCATACCGGATCTGGCTCAAGTAAAAAACTGCACATCCGGTAGATTCAGCGTATTGCGCAACGACATGGGTCAGCGCGCTTTTCTATGACGAAGCAAACTAGCAATAGAACGATAGATAAAAACAGCACAAGACCCGAGAATGTATATTTACGTTTTATGTAAATCAAAATTTTAATCGTTTTTATATAACTTGATAAAAGCGCGTAAAAATAGCTCCGATTAAAGGATATATCACGTAATTCTTTCTTTTTTATGATTCTGACTAATTAGGTTTTTATTCTGATAATTGTTCATGTAACATTACTTTCTGTCGTAATTATCTAAGTACCATTTGCGGAAATTATTTGAATATATTATAAATTATTTTTAGCATTTAATATTGCAATTTGTACAGAGAAATAAATTCAATCGAGATTAAGGGGCCTATTCTGTAAACGTTAACGATATCGTTACGCTTTGCGCAGCTTTTCTATGGTATATTATATCTGCGCAAAGCACGTAATGATGTCGTTAACGTTTACAGAATAGGCTCCTAAGTTTGTATACACATACAGAGAGAGAGATTCAAAACTTTTTTAAATCGCAGATAATATAGTAACGATCATTTTTTAATATTAGGAGTTTTTGAGCTATATGAGATTAAAAATATTATTCATGTAAAAAGAACTACGGAACTGCATAAAAAATTGGAGACTTTTTACTTTTACATTTTGCCTGCGTTTCTTAATCAGACAAGCCTCCCAAATGTCGTAACGCTGAAACTTGATACGGCGCGAGTTTGTGCTGGGTCCAAGAAAAAAAAACGGCGAAAGCGTTAAATCAGCTGGCGCTTTACTACACGTTTATCCTACACGCCTGTGTACACATGGCCGGTTAACTTAGCTGGTGCCTAAATATAGAGGATGTATGAGCTCTTATTCTGAAGGTGGCGTAAATGAAATTTCGAAGAACAATGAACTTTCATACGATATGCGTACTATATACATCACTTGATGGGATGTTTGTATGTTAATAAGCTTTTCAAAAGAATTACGCTATTTTTAAACGTATTAGTAATTTGAAACTCAAATAATTAAAGAGAATAATAGTATGAAAATGAAAAAATACAAGCATCCTATAGAAATTATTATTAAAATGTCGAAAAACATGCTTTTTCTTTATAAATTGCAGAATAATGTAGATTCTAGTTTTTTAATTTAAAAAATTTCAAATTAAATTCATATTTTTGATAAATATCTAAATCTTTTTTCTCGTGAGCTGCCATATTTTTTTCAATAATGGAGTTTATTAATTTATTAATAAATATATATAGTTGATTTCTTGTAATTATTACATTATTGTGAAAAATTTTTTTTATCTTTTAATATTATTTAACAAAGCTCTGTTTATTCTAAATTTAAAAATGTATTATCAACTTTTTTAATTTTCTTGTTGAAATCCAATATCGTTGAAAGAAAGCACGATGATTATCTCGTGACATATTTGTTGGAATACCCGCGGGTGTTTCTTACTCACCGAGTACGAGTAGCAGCAGAACTTGTTGCGGGAGCCGAGCCACCATTGTGGGCCCGTTCGCTCGCACATCTATGAATTTAAATCGAGCGATCCTGCCGTGCCCCCTCGATTTTCCCGTCACAATCGCCAGCGCCCGCCGTAACAACATTCATTTAACGTTCTGCCGGGCTTCCACGTAGGCGTACGCGCCGCTTCTCCAGTTCGTCCGCTCACGCACGGGGCCTTCTTAATTTCTTTCGGTTCCACTATCGGTCCACTCACCGGATTCTAGAGAGTTTTAGCACTCGAAGAATAAGCCACTTTCGTCGATCGAGCTGCACACACGCGCCCGATTAATTTCCCACGGCGACGCGATCGCTGAAATTCGTGGGAATTCACAGCGAAGCGATCGCATGTCGTATGCGATTGTGTGAAACGCCCCCGGCGCGCGTTTTCAAAATGACAGATTTTTTTTCTTTCTTCTTTTTGACCGATCCGAATGCGATTTGGCCAGATGGCCCGATATTAATCGACCCGCGGCACTCTCGCGTGCGGTAGCTGCGATTGGACCGTGCTCGAACCCCGATATCTGTGCACATAAATATTTTAGAGATGCGTTTGTTAAAGGGAGCGGGGTGGTAGATAGAATGGACGGACAAACGGACGGGCGAGGTGCCGAGAGATAGAAAAAATAATTTACAAGTGAAATACAACTTGACACCTGCCAGATAATATCGGCACAGTGAATACAACAGAAGCAATCCGGTACTGTTGCTAACAGAAGTTGCTAGAAGAGAGACGAAACGTAATATAATATAAAGCAGATTAAGAACCTTACATATGTGTGCGATCCTGCACAATATCTTGTGTGTATTGCGTCTCTACGTATGTGTGCTCACCGCACAGCCAATCGTCATGGATTTTCGCGACAATTGCATTCTGAAGAACTGAAGCGACGATGGTAAAATTGGAAAACCGATAAGAACTTCTCTTCTCGCAAGTTATTTTATTGCCGTCATCTTCTCGGTCGGAAAGGATGTCTTTTGCGATTAACAATGTTCGCGATTTCGAAAAAGTATTTCAACGCGTACAAATTTACGTAACTATTACCTCCTTTCTTTAGGTTTATAGTGATTTATGACGATTGCTAAAGCATTATGGAAAATGTTTTATAATTATCTATTTTAATCTAGAACAGAACCGTAGATTCAGGCATAATCTATGTTAGAAATTCACGGATTAATATGATCTACTAGATAATAAGCTGCGAGAGTATGTTATGTCATGCAACTAGTGGCGGGATAAACCTATATGTAATATCCTGTATCCGTAATATTCTAGACAAGCAAATAACAGTCGAGGCGTCGCGTCGGTTTGCGCGCACGTAGACGAAAGGGTCCTGCTACGAATAACACGCGTTATATTCCGCGAATAATGCTGGAAACTCTGCGAATAATGGAAATAACTGAGTTATTGTTGTATTGAGATAAAAAAAGTTAAAAAAGAGGATTGAGCCGACGCAACTCGGTGAATAAAAGACAGTTTACACTGGTATATAGCGAATTACGGCGAAGCAACGGTATTTTGCGTCATTCGTAATTCACCGGATTAAAATGCGAACGTGCGTTTTACGTGAACCAGTGTTATTCCTCGCGGGTCTCTCTATGTTCACGCCCTTTCAGTCTCATCCTCTCCCTTGGCGTAGAACGACTTTTTCTCTACCGAGAATAAAAACGCTCGTTTAGCTCGCGCCACAGCATCAACAGAGCGGATTGTAAAAATCGCGAGATACTCAGCGGCGCGGCGGCGCCGTTTCGCACCACAAAGTATCATGAATGTGAGCTTTTTGCTGAGGCTTTATCTAATGCTATTAGATCAATCACTTGAAAATTTTTTTATGAAAGCCAAGAATATTTTATACTCTTAAAATACGAAATTATATTATAGAAAATTTTTTATTAATTTGGTATTTTTTTATATAAAATTGTCTGATGACAAACGTAAAGAGCGAAATATTTTATACTTTTGTATATATAGCGTCAAAATAATTTGAGAAAAGATATTGCGTAACAGTTAGGAGGGGTCCGTTATAAAAAAAACAGTTACATGTATGTGACAGCTGTATACTCTGACATAGGTTTACATTTATCAATTTTTTAACAGCATATCTAGAAAAGAAGATATGACGGGAATCGGAAATACGCGAATTCTCTCATCTGAGACCGACTCTCGTATATATGTATCTATTTGGGAATCACGTTATCGTAATTATTGGAGCACGCGTCGTACTCGGAAAGCACGCGAGCGGCGATGGAGGTGATCTGGACCGATGCATTTCAGTAGCCTACGCGACAAAAATATCCACGAAAAATCTCGGCAGCTCGCCAAGCGGCCTCAAGACCTGCCGTCGTGCTCGTCAACGTAGCTTTGATAAGATAATTCAAAAATTATCTCGGGATATAACGACGATGTCGATGAGAGCCGCGGTGACACTAAAAGCATTTACATGACATTGCTTTCGCCGCGAAAGGCGGAGTCCGAAAAATTCGTAGATTTTCCGGAGCGGTGACTGCAGTTGTCTTGAATGTCGAATCGACATTCGTGCCAAGGGACGTAATAAACGCGTCCTCGACGTCCGTGTCGTATCGAGGTTCCTTCTCACAAGTAGACGAATTTTGCGCAAGCACGACGGCATAAAGGCGTCTCCGCGTCTGGCGTTTATAGAGCTTCGCAATTCCTCGGAAATTATACTGCACCCGAATGCAGATCGCGGCAGGAGATACGGAGTGAGCACATCAATGCACGGCTATTCTTGAAGAACGTTCGCGGCAGAAGCTGCGCCCCGTTGGTAACAGAAAGAGTCGCACGTCAGCCGCTGAAAGGGAATACGTGCGCGTAGAAAGGAAACGTCAAGCATTCCAGGCACGCGTGTATGACAACGAAAACTCGTTCGGCTGATCATTCCTCCTTCATTCTTCCGAATTTTCTCAATTGCATAAGTCGTACGTTTCGAACGTGACATAAGTCAAATCTCGAAAATTTTCGAATTAAAATATGTACGTATTAATTCAATTGTCGCAATTATTCCTTGATACGAAGATACTGATATCGCGAATGAATTTAAAGGTGACATCTTAACACCCATATCTCATTTCTATCGATGATGTTATACTATGATATTCATATATATTTTTATTAAATAGCTGAACATGTCAATTGACAAACATAATCTTGAATTTTTTACTTGAATATATTAATTTTTACTTGAATATATTAATTTTTCCGTTTTCATATTATACGAAACAATAAATCCCGACATTACTTGCGATGTGTAAAAATTTTATATTATATGTAAAAAGTATTTATAAATTCTGCTGTATACATTCATTCGTTCGCGGTAAACCAACCTTTATGAATGAATAAATAGTGGAAGTTTAATGTGAGAGAACAATCGAAACAACGCGTTACATTTGACATGACATTGCTTTTCCTCCTGACGAATCTTATTGAAAGATTTATTTAAAATATACCGATTATTTTTCTGTTGTTGTCTTCAAGCACAAATAAAAACTAGAAAATAGCAACTGACGAACAATAATAAAAATTGATCGGAATATGGATATCTTGTTTAAAAATCTGTTGTTTCTAAAAATACATATCAAACTCATTAATCTTGCGAATTCTTACATTTTTCTCAATTACAAACGACTGTTCGATATGTTATGAGTATAATAGTGGTGAGGATTGTCACATGTATGATCAATTGAAAAAAAATATTACACGTGACATCGGCCGTGATTTAGAGAGATATCCCACGCGATATGCCAAGAATAGAAAACTCGTTGAATTACGGCGAGGATTGACGAAATTGTGATAAAATTCGAAAACGTTATAGACGGGATTTGTTTCCGCCAAATGGGTTTTCGCAATCATGCATATTCAGCTTCACATGGGGAAAAAAGAACGACGAGCTCAGACCAGGGACACACAAAATTCTTTGCATTGCAATATAAAGATCCAATGCAAAATTTAGAAAACGTGGAATCGGTGACTTTTATTCCACGTTTCCCATGAATATGAAAGCTTTTATGGTAATTTAGTTTTCGGATATAGTACCCGCTCGAAAATGCTTGATCACTGAAGACACGCGCGTTCCCACAGAACGTGCGTTCGAAAAATTCGCATTTTTCACTGCCACTGCACACGAAGGATACGCACGCACCCACGTATGCACGCACTCACGTGCTTCTGTCTCGCGGGCGCGCGGAGTCAATCGTGGCGTCGCGCCACTGCCGACCGAGTGAGCAAGTAGTACAAGCGTATTACTCCACTATCCGTCGCGCGCGGACTCCGACCGCCGACTGACTACTACTAGCCGCGGTCTGGCCTCGGTGGCTGTTTCTGCTGTCTCGCTTGCGCGCTTCTTCCGGCGCGCCGTCTGCGTCGCACTCGTCGCTGATGCATTATCCTCCTGAGACCTGAGGTCACACTCTTTTTCTTCTAACGTGGAACTCTTATAAAAGCCGCTTCAAAGAAAGCATTCACGATAATAATTGCTTTTTGCCACTTGCCGATTACACTTAAAATGTCCTAAAAGCGTGACTTGAGATATCGCATACGAAATAATCATTTTCAAGCAATTGATTTTTTTTATTAAAAATTTCTTTATATATTTTATGATATTACTGCACATTACACGAGAAGAATATATTTAATACACGACTATTTAGTAGTATTCTTTTTTCTTTGATTTAAAATTGATTTAATTGTTTGCTTCTGCCTTTTTCTTTTTAAATATCATAATGAAATACTATGTCCGATCGCGTTTAATAATCTCGCTAAACATTATTTATAAACATGGAGAAAATTGCAGTTAGCGAAATAGCCAAGTATAATAAATAAGAAAAGAACGCAATTTATAAGTCAATCAAACAGAGAACGATGGTTTTTTTCTCTTTCTCTTCTTCAGGTTATTAGAAACGAGTTTTAATAAACTTGAAATTATCAGCAGGAGAAGATTATAACGGTGAGAGTTTTAATTATAAGAATATCAATTTTATGACATTATGATAGAACCAAAATTAATAACTTGTTATTAACTTCTTCCTCTTCATTTATAGTAAACTTCGGGAGGTCATTTTCAACTATATTACAATAATTGTTAGCCACAACTTCTTCACGGAAGTTTGTGATTTTGTTAATTTATGGTAAATGGTACTTTGTTCCGTTAGAAGGAAGTTGACCAACCAATCTAGGAAGAACTAATTTAAATATCGCAGAATTCTTTTTTTTTTACTTTTAAAAATCTCTTGGCGTGATTAATAGATAGAAGGAAACTCGAATATAGAATACTTCTCAACGTACATTTGATAATACTTATTCATTCGATATAATTGAATTTATCATCTATTGTCTTATGAACAAACATTGAAAAAGTAATTTTGATTGTATAGAACTTTGTGAATGATGATATATGTCGGTTACGATTAAAGTATAGTAATCTAGTGGTAGAACATTAGTACGTGGGCGAGTATTACATTCCAGGGCGAGCGTTCTTATTGAAAAGCTATAGCGTGATAGTCTGATTGAGCACCTGTCGATGGCAGACTTCGGCCAGTTTTTTTTCAATCTACCCAGGCATTCAATGCCTACCGATTACCAATCATCAATAAGCGATGTTTATTTGCGCAAATTGCAAATAGCAGTTGCATGCATTGATGATCAATTCGAACGTTAACAGTGCCATTTCGTCATTTCAACAATCGAGAAATTTAATGATCAAAACGTTTGATTTCTAAAAATATTTGATTATTCGAATCTCTTAACATAATTATTTCTGAGTTTAATGATATCTACTAGATGTTATTTAAATTCTGTAGGAATCAAAGTATAAATTGTTGGAAATTTAAGAATTTTGCAAAACAAAACTGCAAAACAAAAAGATTTTTTTTATTACTGTAAACATAAACTTGAATTAATGTGAAATCAACTAAGAGTTAATTTACTTTGTGTATTTAATTATTTAATTAATGAATGATGAGAAAATCAATATAGGAATGTATCTATTATTATATTTATAATAAAATAATTAATGTTCCAAAGATGCAAAAGATCGATGTGTTTTTGTTATGCACATTGAATTAACCAATTATATAATTACTGGTTATATATAACTGGGTAATTGCGTTATTGTAACATTAAAATGTAAATTGGTACACAATTAAGGTACAGAAGTTGCATTGGTTACTCAAATATTATATACAATATACATATTATATTGATTTTCGGAGTTTCCATCAGGAACAAAGAACCTATAAAATTTATAATCAAATTTTGCTTGTTAATTTTTACGCAGATAATCGGTTCACTTCACTGACTGATTGCTGCTAGTTTTGAAAATATGTTGTACCGTTTCGTTTGGATAAAAATGCGTATCTCATTAAATGAGATGCTGTGGTCTTTTCTGTTTCTAACGTGCGGCGCGTTGACCTTCCGATTTATTTTAAGTTGTCTCATTTTGGCTCACGCGTTACATAATATTACTTACTCATTTTTGTACTTAAAAAAGAGTATTAATCTAATAGCACTATTTTTTGTCTGATCTGCATCAATTTACATCAATTTGCATCTATTTTTAGAATTTTACCATTTTATTGTAGAACAAAAAGATAAGTCGAGCATGCATTTCCAAGAGATTCTTGTCACTCTGCGTGAATCGATTGGGGAGCAAGCCCTTTGACGGTTTTTGAGGTCATCCTCTTATCTCTCTTTCTTACATCATCTCCTTCCTTTTTATTGTATTGCTCTTTGAATTTACACGCAACCGATTGAATATCGCGTTCTCGAGAGAAATGTGGTAAAAAAATATGTGATTACGTTGAAAAAATATATTGGAGAACGTATTTTATTCTTCAAGACTGTGTTATAAATATATTTTCCATAGAAATCAGAGTTCTATCTGCTTTTACTGTCATTTTATAAAGAACAGTGTGCTAACTATTGTACAAACCTTGAAGAAAGAAAATTAATGAATTGAGCGATTGAGTTAGGAGGAAAAATTATATTTACATTTGATATGTCTCTTTTATACTTTCTTGTAAGGAGCAATATCAGTTACTTATTAGCGTTATATGTATATGACATATATACATTTATGTATATATTGTACGTCATATACATGGAAAATGAAATGGTTAGTTACGAATAGTAGTTACGAACAGTAGTCGTAGCTAATTGGATTTTACCTCTCATTGCGTTATCGTAACAATTTTTAATCTTTGTAGGGCAATTTTATATAAGGTTCCCTTGATTTTTATTTTCCTTTTATATAGTTAATTATAAAACTAATTAGGCGGATAAACTCGGAAAAGATTTAGACGAGAAAAGTGGATAGAAACGGTCGATTGTATATGAATATTTCAGTACAAAAAGCTTCGCTCGCTGTTTCCTTCATTTTTATTAAATAAGATCTGTTCGCAGTACAGCTTGTATCGCGTATTGCGATTAATAGATACAAAAGTAGATGTTATTTGAGAATATCGGTGACAGCTATAATTAATATTACGAATAATGTTATAATTTACATTTGGTCTAATGGTTATTGCGATTTTAGCTCGGTGTGAGCGCCAGTGCGAAACTTTCTTATCAGCTATCATAATGTCGGACGCGAGGCGGGGCTTTGCGTTGTTTTATTTCCGTGCAAGATCGAAGACGGATCTAAGACAGGTAACGGGAGTCGGTACAGAGTCCTTTCGCATCATCCGCGCACGCACACGTTCTGCCGCCTTGGCCGTCCGGTAGACAAAGCTGATTCTTGTTGCATCTTCCATTGTCGTACTGGCACACATTTGTCACTGCAAACAAGCGATCGTGAATTATAGAATTTCTGACAGTACTATACTTATTCTCGTCTCTATAGCGAATTTCTTTCTGTAGAAAAGTTAGGAAAATTTCTGATTCTCGTTAATTCAGATTTCGGCGAAGCTTAAGTAAGGCAATAAATTATAAAATTATATATTTCCTAGAAATATATAATTTTGAGAAATAGATCTCTCACGAAGATGAAAAATTTACCTCTGGGACATGACTCTGGAACGACCACGATACCGTATAGTTTCCCACTCCCACCAGGCGGGACAGACAATGGTGCGCGTCTTTCGCCATTAGTCTTCATGCCGACTTCGATCTTGTGTCTGCAATGGAAGGAGCGTAATATAAAAACTTTTACATTTTATAGCATTCTCTGGATTGTCTGCACGCGCCAGTGAATATTTTATTCTCTTACGTTTTCCAGTCGGTCCAGTAGTAATGATTTTGAGAAATTGCCAAGCCGAACGGATAAGTAAGTTCATTTGCGACGACGGTGACTTTTTTACTGTCTATTTCAATACAACCTAAGAACAAGAGATTATTTGTTATTATAGCAAGTTCACGGTAATGAAACGTATCGTGCCATCGGACATTTTCCCGTTAAGATTAATGGATGTTATTTTGACGCGCTCACGTGATTAAAATCTATATTTACTTATCGAGAACGTCCCAGCGTCGGCCCAGCACAGCTCATCCGTCGCCCAATCGATAGTTAATGAATTTGGCAGCTTAACGTAATCACCCTGAAGGAAGATTGCTCGGTCTGTTCCATCTTCGTTAGCCCACTCTAGTTTGGGGGAGGCGCGATTCCAGTCAGACCAAAATATTTTTCTGAAATAAGAATATTCATTGCAAAATTCAAATTGTTATAAAATTATATTAATAATATAATTTAATGATTCAAGTAGACGGTTCGATGAAATATAATATTATTACAAGATCAAAATTATAATATATTGGCGTTTATTATTATTTTTATTAATCAGTTTAAAATTACTCACGAATTTCTAAATATAAAACAATATACAAAAGTGAGCTGAAATCTCTTCTATAAATATGTGACGTAAAATAATTCGCAATTATATAGAAGAAATTACTTTCATTTTAGTTGCACGGATAACATGCATGTACGAATGATTTGATGAGTGTTAGGGCCAAAGCACATAACATGGCGTAGCAATATACGACGGTCGTAGTCCTCGACCTGACAAATCAGGATACGCCAAAGCTTGTGCGTTACTTACGTCTACGACTGCCATACGTGCTTTGGCCCTAAGATTGGAGAAGGTCTTGGGGTGCACTGGACCGAGAAGTTTTGCGAATAGATTTTCTACACCCTTATCTATCCTTACCCTCGATATGGATGAACAGCTATTCCCCTCGGATTGACCAGTCCATCGGAAACGAGGACTTTGCGTTTCTTTGTCACTAGACTGGCAACCTCGACGGTCGTCTTGCCTGAGTCGGTCCAGAAGATGTTCCTCGAGACCCAATCGACCGACAGTCCCTCGGGACTGCTAACTTTCGGAATAAATGTCTCTGCCATCGATCCGTTATAAGATAGTTCGACTATCCTGTTGCCTGTGAAAATAGATTGCGATTTTATCTTACAAAGGTATCTTATTTTTAGACTATAATTGCTTTCTTATTATAGCAATCGAGAGTGTGTTAAAAATAAATTCAAATTTAATTTGTTAAAAAATGTCTTTTTTTAGGATTTTTTACGTTTCTTATTTAATATTTCAAATGTATTTAAATGTTTTTGAAATTTAATTTTATTTAATCATATTTTTAAATATATTTTTTTTACGAAAATCTGAATCCGTCTTAAGAGTCAAAAACACATAATATTGATAAATCTGGGACAAGACTTATTTGAATATAAACTTACCAGTAATATCACTGGAGTAAGCTTTGCCGCCAAGGCAGTCGATATCTAGGGCTATCGCCATTTGCGTGTAAGCTATGTAGATCGGATTTCCTGGATTCTGTTGTGTGGGCACGAACGGTATCCGATGCGTGGCCATTCCTTGGTTCACCAACAAAAAATTGGAGTCGTGCCTCGGCCGGTGCTTACAATTTATGCCGTCGCCGACGAAACCCTCGTTGCAAACGCAAGCAAACTGATTTTCACCACTCGACACGCACGTTGCCTCGGATGAACAGAGATTCGGATCGTGTCTGCACGAGGATTGTGGCCGACACGTGAAACCGTTACCGTAGTAACCCTAGAAGCGATTAGATTGCGATCATTCATATTTTATACTGTAAATCGTGTATAAGAGAGAGAGAAAGAATCGCTGTTGCATATTATATTGCTGAAAGAAATATTACTTTTTAATCTACATTTTCATCTCTTTTTAATTATAAAGATAAAAACTTTTGAGAATAACTTAATTTTTGCTCTCAGATGAATACTTTTGTATGTCAGATTCTCCAAATGGAAATTTTTAAATTTTAATATTTAAACTCGCTTATCTCTTTTTATACGTTTTATACGTGTTACCACTTACATACAGCATAATATAGTACGTATGAATTCACGTTATACGCGTAGCAACAAACTCGATTATCTTGTGTAATGATATATTTGTTTGTACGCACCGATTGGCAAATGCACGCGAAATTCGCGGACGTCTGATTGTACCCGCAAATTGCATTTCGGCCACAGTTATTCAAAACGTTACAGCCGATATGGTCTTCCACACACTGGCGCATACCGTCGCCGTGATAGCCGCTTATGCAGACGCATTTGTAACCACCGTCGTCGGACGGCACGCATTGCGCGTTCACGTGGCACTGAGAAAGATTCGTTGAGCAATCGGACGGCACGCATCGATCGTTCATGTCCATGCTGAATCCGGGTTTGCAGGTGCATTCGTAGCGCGAGCTCATAGGGTGGTAGGTGCATTGTTCGTTCTTCTCGCACTCGGAATTGTCGTTGCACTCGTCTAAAACGCAAGGAAACCAATAGGGAATGTATCAGTCGACGTGTCTCGCCATCGATTCATATCATGCGGATTACAGCGCGATATACAAAAGGCAAATTCCATTCTTGTTTGAAATAGTTACTGTATAGCTGAACTTACAGTTTGATCGCGATCGTCAATATCTCGATTTACATGGTAATGCGGAATGCAAAGGAGGCAATATGTATGCGCAATGCGGGGGGATCGCCGATTGAGAGAAAGAAATCGCGTTGACATTCGTGCGTCGTGCGACGTGCGCAATGGCGCGAAATGAATGAAAGAAAAATAATAAAAAAAGGTATGAATAGTGAGAGCACCGATACGACTGCATGTTGTTCCGTCGCCCACATATCCTGGATTGCACACGCATCTTGCCATCGGTTCCTCGTACTGGCAGGACGCGTTGAGGTCACAGATATCCACTTCCAAGCAGGATACTTCTGTACGAAGAAGAAGAGTCGTATCGTTGTATTATCTCTCATTTAACGTACCTTCACCCTGCTCTCACGATTTAGGCTTTTTTTCCTTAGGAAGATGGAATTATTAAACACAAGAGTATTGGAAAGCATAATTATGATCCATTGAATAGTGAATGGCACGGCAATGATATCTGGCTGTTTCGATAACGAGAAATAAAAAAATTTAATGGATTCGCAGAATTTTATGAGCTGATGTTCAATGAATGAACATGTTATGAATTGATTGTTGAGTAATTTTTCTGCTAATTATGTACAAGAGGGCCTGAAAACGGTTAATGTTGAATTTATTCGATAGTTTATACATTGAAGTAAAAGCGTGTGCGATTTAGCAAATCTTTTTTTACGCGTTAAAAATTTACTATTTCACGAGTTGGCATACAAAAATAATTTAACAATGATATCATCGCGCGGAAAGTTTAATGTACACTCTCCAATATATTTTTATTAATATTTTCACCTTGCTAAATATATACATAAGATGCAAGATGCATTTTGCACGTACCTGTCTTAGTGCACTCCATACCATCGCCCTCGTATCCCGGGTTGCAGCGGCACTCGTAATCACCGGTACTCGTCACGTAGATGCACTGGGCGTAGGGATGACACCTATTCACCACGTTGCAAGATACTGGACACAAGCATGTGCGCGATTATGATACATTGCATATAGCATGCGATGATAGCTATAGCTGTTCCAATAGAGACAAAAAAAAATTGAATGGAATCGCGATTTGATGAACGTGCACTGATGTTCAATGAATGAACATGTTATTAACTGGTTGAATAATTTTTTTTATATATAATTATGTACAAGATACCCTGAAACACTCAAATGTTAACAAACATATAAGATTCTGGGAAATCCTTATATTTATTTTATTTTGCGAGGAATCGATAAATATCGTGAGCATAGCGTGAAATGAAAGTTTTGAAAGAAAATATTGTTCAGAAAGTCTAGAAGTTGATGCATTAGTTTATCACTGTCATCAGAGAAGATATCGATATCTATTTTGATGTGCAGTTTGAAGCATTGCACCTCGAGTGAAAACATCGAAAATATGTATTTTCCGAGCGAGATAAGCATCCGCGTTTTGAAATAATATTATTCATTTATACATAAGGAGTACTGGCAAAATGGAATATTTCTGCATTATTTATGACATAAATATTAATCGTTTAATGAAATTAAAATATTTCAATCACGTTAGCGAAGACGATTTTGTTCCTTCCCAAGAGTATTACATGCACTACGGACACATTTCTCAATTTCCCGAGGTAATCTTCCATCTCGCTATTCACTAAAAGGTTGCGCATCACAAGTTTCTGAAAGTGAGTTTATGGAGTTGGTAGATGGCGAAACTTCGAGTACACTTATTTACAGAAAGAACCTTTTTCCTGCTCCCGATGCGTGACGAAAAAAATCGGGATGTGTAAGTTTGTTTATGCAAAATACAGTTTATATTGAGCTTCGATGAACGCTGTTAACCAACTTCATTATACCGTCAGCAGTTTCGGCTTTGTTATTTTAAGCATTCGCGTGTTTGAATGTGTGAGCCCGCAAGCGTTTTTATTAATTACGCGGTTAGGTAGGAGGTGTATCGCGCGTTGATGAAATTAAAACAATTTCCTGGAAGTAAGAGGCACCTTGCGCCGAGGTCATGAGCTCGTTAAAGAGAATGGTACGCAAAGCGACTTTATGCTCATTAATAAACATAAATAACTTAAAGCCAAGCACTGAGTGCGTCGTACGATTAGATCCTGATGGACCCTTCGTGTCGTGTTGGTATCCTGGCAGCGGAACGCAAATTCGTTCCAAATGGTCGTAATCGTATCCCAAGGGACATATGCAGACGTCGTCGAAGCATCCCGGGAGCGGATGTGCCGATACTAAAACGCATGATGCATCGACGAACGATGTTCGTCGCATACTATTAGCGATCGTTTCGCACGTTATTAAATATTGATCTTTGCATCGTGAGGATTCAAGTTATTCATGTTAATTTATTTGCATGCAGTTATCCGCCGTGCGTTTCATTTGCAAATTGTTTTAATTCTCAACAGTATTTCAGTTTTCACTTCTGGCAAAATGATCCTCGGAAAAAATGCACCAGACATGATGCTTTAGCAGACAAATGTTGCTATAACATGAATATAACGTCAGGGAGTGTCTGAATTAACATATTATTTTAGCACAAATAGGAATTTAGTGCTATTCTGTTGTTAATTTACTGTTATCTGTTTTATTATTGCTCGTTTAATAGATGTATGCAATTGTATAATTATGTATTAAAAGCTTAAAACGTAGCTATTAATTAGCATATTAATATAATATATTACTCTATTTTATTGCTGTATACATTTTTCCTTGCATAAAATGCAAGAAAAAGTATATAATGTTCGATGTCTACGGTTTTTCTGAGGATCTTCATTGTTTCTAGCGATACAAACACATCTCGATAAAACTATTTTACTGATACTCAATTAATTTTGTGCTTAAATTAACCGGTGCTTAAAAATAATTTCTTTAATACATGCCATATGCACAATATGATACACATTTAATAATGGGCAGAAATTGGGTCAATCTTATTCGAATTCAAAATTTTTACGTTTTGCAGAAAATTGCTCGAAAAGCCATCGTGCAATCAACGAAATTATATTTCGTGCAACTTACAGTCTCGATAGTCAACTGTCGTATATTCTCCCTCTTGCCTCACGCAAGCATGGTTACGGAATTCCCAACCACTCGGACACCAACACACTCCAACCACGCACTGCGGTTGCGGCGGTTCGTCTGTTGTGGTGACATCGGATTCGGAGTAACACGTGTATCCATCGCCTGTAAATAATTGCATATGTGAATAACAGACAGAAAACACTTTGTAAATTGCAATATGGTCACATGCGTTTGGAGTGACAATCGTCGCGACGAATACTAGTTGAGTCATACCCCGCGTATTCCATTCAGTTTAATTACTCCATTTCTGGATTGTTACGAAACTAATATTAAAATTTATGATATATAACCAGACTTTTGGGAGACAAAAAAGATTAAATGCAAAAAATATCTTTTATGAATTGTCAGATACTTCCTACATGGGCAAGAGAGAGAGATAAGTAGTTCGCGATAAATAAACTATTTTTTTTGCAAATACATTATATTAATTATATGCGATCATAAATTTAAATTTTTACAATACACATATATAAATTATATATATATATATATTTTTTTTTTTTATGAATTATCAACGGTAGGCAAAAAAATCTTTTCGAGTTTTTCCACTCACCGACGTAACCAGGCATACAAACGCACACGTGTTTCTTTCTATTCCCGTCGAAACTGCAGAGTCCGTATGGGGAACAATTATCTTCCTCGTTGCAGGGTGCTGGTAAAAGTACAGTTGCCGCTTATCAGTAATGAAATAATTAATAATATTTTTCGTAATTTATATGCGAAATATTTTACCATGCTGAGAGGGGTAACATCCCTGGTCCGTTTCCTCGAAACCAGGCATACAGGTACATGTAGGTGTATTTCCGACCATCACACATTGCTCGTAATTTCCACAGCGAGTATCTTCACAAGATGGCAATCCTGCATTATGAATATTATTGATATAGAGTTAGATAATGTTGATATGTAAATAAGTAGCTGACAAAATTAAGAAATATTAATTGAACAAAATATTTCATATTTTAGTGTTTTATATATAATTTATTTTTAAATATCTTTAAAGTTGAAAATTAATAATAACTTAAAAGAAATACTTGATCGAGAATATTATCAGACGTTAAGATTATTTTCGCCGCTATCAGCAGTAAGAATTTGATCGACCTGTGGGATGTTATCGCAGTACGGTAACACACAATGATCATAAGATATAAGATAATTTATTATAAAATAAATAAAAATAATGCGCTTACTTTCACAAACACGACCGTCTCCCGTAAAACCAGCTCTGCATTGGCACATGTGGCTGCCTTCCTGATTAATGCATTGAGCGTCTGGGGAACACATGTGATTACCGGCTGTGCATTCGTTCACGTCCACGCAAATCGCACTGCCGTCTTCCTCGTACAGATACTGATACCTTCCCATATTTCGAGCAATATAATAAATATCATTAATCATATAATTAAATAATCATTATTTGATACGTTGACATCAAGATGTGACAATACATTTTCGTGAAAACACTCTTAGTATATCCGAAAGGAGATTTTTTTATTGAATTTGTATACAAAGAAAGCTTTTTTATGCAATCAATTTTATTTAAAAAAAAAAAATTGACGGTAGAGATACTCACCCTGCGTTACACACACATCTAAAGCTGTCTCCATCGACCACGCAGGAGCTATGATCGCCGCATGTCTGTCGTCCTTGAATACACGGGTCCTCTTCTTCGAGGGGCGTTATCTTGGTGTTGACGGCAAATCGAATGATGCCCTCGGTGCCCTCGTAAGCGGTGACACCTCTGAAAAACTTCAGCCTACTCGTGTCGTCCTCGGGATCGAAGATAGCGTACGGGCACTCCTTGTAACTAATTATCTGATCCAGCTTGAAGTTAATTTCCCGCTCGTCCCCGCTGCCACGCGAAAGTTTACAGGTGCGCTCGCTTTGAGAACGGATCATTCCTGATTGGGCACGAGTGTAGAGTTCGTCGTAATCGCCGTAGTCTACCCTGGTGTCTCTCTCCAGGTACGGCACCGTACCCGTGATCTCCGCTTCCATTTTCAGCTGACCGAAGACGTCCAATCCAAGGTAATTGCTGCGTATCGTCACTTTGTCGCCACTCGATGGGAAGTTCAGTTCCGCCGTGTGGTTGAATAAGCCGCCTGCCCGTGAAACACGCTCGTATGAATACCTGCGTAATCGTAAACCTGCTTTCCTTCGGCAACCTTGTTATGGCACTTTCAAAAAAATCCTTCAAACTCATTAGTAAAATATAATACCAATACGATCACATAATCTTTAGTACACAACATATATTGATATGATATATAGTTACTAATTATTAATTTATCTAAGAAAACATAGAATAGAGATATTGAATGAAATGAAGGCTCCTTGCCTGTAAGCTCGTATCCGTTTTCAGTGTCGCTGATAGGTTTTGCGAATAGCCAACCAATCACGCCACCCAAATTGCCTAAAAGTTGGAAACTAGCACCGATTTCTTGAGGTACCCTTGATAAGGCGGTATATGTTCGTCCATCTTTGGTTTGTACGTAGCATTGAAGATCTCTTGAGGGGAATTCGATGTTATTTAACTTGCCAGATATTCGGCCAATAACCCGAAGAGGCACGTCTAAAAATTAAATCTTTCAGAAGAAATTCCATAATATCTGTATGTCTTTATTATAATTGCCAGCGCTTTCTGTCTTAACATACTGCTATAATTATTATGTTGCCTTATTATTTTTCTGTGTACGCAACATATTTCTTTTTCGAAGTACAATGTACTATCTATTTATATTTTTACACAATTGTTTAGTTAATGATAAAATAATATTGAAAGAAATACATTCTTCTTGCATCTCTTAAGAACTCTTATCTCCAGATGAAAGAAGTCACAACTTTTTTACGGAAAAAAATTATTGGTAGGGACTCTGCCAACGACACGACCATCAAAGAGTCGCGCGGCCCATTTCATGGTATTCACGGTATCGCCGTCTATATGATGTTACCGTAGAAGTCGTAAGAACCAGTCTCGTAAACTATGAATAGACCGGAGAGCGCGAGTAAACGCAGCTACTTATTGCGTTGCATCTATTTGCCCTATGACGACTTCTGCGTACTTTTGTCCGCGTTAGGTGAAGCGTCGTAGGGAGTTTAGAGGGGGAAAACGCGCTGAAAGATCTCTTCTTTATCCCGTTTCGAGAACACTTCAAAGGCCGCGTTTGCATGCCATTAGCTCGAGCTTATCTCGCAACGAGCATGCGAGATTTCGACAAACACCGTTGATAAATAGCTTACCGTTTGGCTGGCAGGATTTCCCGTTGCCGAAATAGCCCTGCTTGCAACTGCAGCAGAATCCGATCTCGTAATCGATGCAAGTCGCTTTACTGTGGCAAGTGGTGGCGCCGGTCCTACAGCTAGCCGCTTGATGCATAGTCATCGTGTCTAACAGGATATATTGCTTAATTCGATCAACATCGTAAAGATAATCCGGGATAACTTTCCGGTTTTGTCTTATTATTGCAATTCATACATATAATGTACAAAAAGATAAAACAAGGTTGTTTTAGGTTTTTGCTATTTTTGCGACGCATTAAATTTTAAAAGTTTTTATATTTAACAAGCATATTTTTATATATTTTTATTATGTACTCGTTACCTTCAATATTATTGGGAATCTTTATGTAGGTATTTTCGTTTTCGCCGATAGGACCAACTTGAAATAGCCACTGGCCAGGCCTATTTACATTTGACCACCTGAAAACAATTACAAAGGTCCATGAATACGTCGCACGTGAATACAGCCGGCGCCTCTGCTCTCCCCATTACTCACTTGTCGACATTCTGAATTTGGTCCGTGCCCGAGCCCCTCAGGGTATACATTTTGCCCTCGCTCATGAATCCTGCCTGTGCCTTGGCATCTGGGAGACCGTTGGGATGCGATTCACCCTGAATCCACTGTATACCATTTTCCGGGTACAGTAGTTCAACAAAGGAATGCGTACCGTTGGATGATATAGCGACTTGATAAGTATTCACCTGAAAGACAACTCGATGAACGTTATTCATGTTCTCAAAGAGGTTTATTACATATGTTTATATTTTTATTTTTCCTCAATAGAGTGAAACGTTTAGTTTAAGTACAATAAAAGTTAAAGACATACCGTCAACATTTTTTCATTTTTTTAATTATACAAGCTGAAGATTTGTTTTAGCGAAAAAATAAAATATACAATATTTGATGATCGTAAAGGCAATAACTTGCCTTATCATTTCGCTCATTATAATAACCAACGTCCATCCAAGTGGCCAAAAAGACGTGCGTAGGCACAAAGTTATTGGCGTTCTTAAAGGCACTTCGGATCAATCCTCCGGCTCTAGCGAGAACATCGGGAGAATCGGTTTCGCTCCAATAAATAGTTCCGGAAGCTCTCGTGTCAACGTGTGTATAAAGAGGCGCGATGACTGGATCATCAAGAGGGAATGCAATGTTGAAAAACCTTTGCATGGCCCTAGCGAATGAGAGAACGCCATTTCCATTTACCTGAAATTGAGGAAATCGATTTTCCATTTTTGATATCTTTTTAGCTGACATGTGTTGTGACTACATTTGATTTCAATTTTATATTTAGGCCCAGTTTCACAAACGCCGGTTAACTTCTATAACCTTAGGTTACTCACTCGTCTCTTTCTAAGGGTGACGTTAGAGTTTAACCTAAGGTTAAAAGTTAACCGATGTTTGTAGAATTGAGCCTTAAAGTATTGTGTTTTTAAATAAAAGTTTAGAAATGCATAATATATGCATATAATTATTTATAAAAGCATTTATAAGAGATTCTATATTCTTAAGCACAATGAAATGCTCAGATTTCCATTTACAGCTGTTATTAAGAAATATAATTTCATTGAGATGAGATAACAAGGAATTAAATCAACAACGTTTATTTGCAATTTTATCAATACATTAAAGCATGTTAGAACTTAGCAGATCACATTATCAGAATTTAACTATTAATATTTCAATGCTTTAACGGTGTAACTTCTATTTAATTCCCGATACTGTGGCAATCGTTCCATTTTAACGTTAGTTTTTTTTATTAACCCTTTAAAGAAGTATATCTTTAATACCACTTAAAAACTGCGGTTTATTTCGATATATGAATTTCGATCGTGAAATGCATTAATTCGGTCGCAAGTCTCACAACGTTAAGTTCTACCGCTGAGAGATGTTCTTGCGTACAACTGGAACGTGACGGTAAATCAAATTCTATTCGGTGAAGCGCGTGGAAGGTCGGGCGACATCAGCGGGTCAGCAGGTAAATCGTCGGCACGTGCTGCCAGTGAAATCCGACAATGACGTTGTTAGGAGGGGGCTTGCCCCACGTCGTCAGTCTGCGCGAGTCTCGCAATAGACACGCATGCACGTTAATGAGCGAGCGCCTGTCGTCGAGGAGTCATTCACCCAACGACGCGCGCTCGTTATAACGCCGAGGCGCGAGGACGGTGTCGCGTTCGCGTAAACTCGCGAAGGAATCGCAATGATCTCGACGAGAGAATGCCCTGCAAAGGAACCAACGACGAGATATGTTTATAAGATGTCGGTGATTAGTTTTAAGAAATTTTAAGCAAATCATTAGGAGCAAAAGATGTTAAAAGCTTTGACGATCAATGCATTTTCCGAAGACATTGTAACACTATGATTAATTTTTGATTTTTTAAATATGATAGTGACGAATATAATTATAAATGGTTAAAAGAAATTTTGGGACATATACGTAGGTTTTTTTTAAGATCTAATATAAGCCTAATCATGTTCTTAATATTCTGCCAGTGGAAAGTAAAGATTTTTTTATGATTTTTTGGTATATTATTTATTTTAAAGTTCAAAAGAGTAGCGGACACGGTCGTATCATCTTGCCGGAGCCGCTGACTTGTTTCGTCAATTGGCTAAAATGAAGTGCGCCAAACGCGCGCACATGTTCAACGCGATGCACTCTTCGGGCTACAGCTGTTCCTTTATAAGAAAAAAACTCTTTGTCATTAAAGAGACAAAATTATCCCCTTCTTCTTGAAAGAATAGTGGAGCCGCTCAAAATATTGCGCTGGGAGGAAATAATTGGTATGGTTCTCACACTGTTCGCTCTTACCGGTTTAATGTCACCTAATTTTGAAATTAAGGAAGTGATATATTATGCTACCATTCTAAATAGAGACCTAAAATGTTTTATATCTTAACTATATGTATATCTACTATTTCATAATTCACTATTTAATTTTTTTATAGAATAAGCTATTTATTAAAAGAAAAATAATTTTAATTTGGAATAATAACATTTTTTTTAAACATATAATACACTGTCTGAAGAGCAAAAGTTGTTCATTTTCTTATTAAATACGACGAATTCCGATGTCCGAATTCATATTTTGCTCCCACGTTTTTATTCGTCGACGTTAATTTTTATGCGCCACTCAAAGTCCAAACTGGAACATCCGATTACTTAGATGGCCTATATTGTTTTCACGTGAGGTTAATATTATGGGCGCCGCATCAAATTTAACGCTTAAGTCGCACATTGTTAACCGGCGACCCGATTCAAGTGAATTGACACGAATTAGGGCTACAAAGTCATAATCTCTACTGTGACACTATTCTAAAACTACTATAGACTTATGTCATAATGTTGTTGAATAGCAAGGTATTCACTTAAGTACTTCATATTAAAAATGTGAATTGGACATTTTGATCATATTTTACTATTTTTGTAGCGTAATTTTTTAATGAAAACAGTATTTATTGAAATTAAAAAAGGGTTAATGACATAGCTAATATATTGGTTAAAACTGTTTAATACGTATATGTGCTATATATATTTAAATGGATTTAATATTCTTTTTTTGTTTTTGCGGTGAATTTATTAGACAGCTTATTAAATTTTTTTCATATAATTATCGGAATATGTTCGTTTCCTACGGCAGTATAATGCCAATTTAGCTCAAACAAGCAGAAATCTTCCAATCTTCGATATCGATATTATTCGTCCCGTTATACGTACGGGAGTTTGTAGGCCGAGAATCAGTATCGGTCATCGAGGCGTCCGATAATCGATGCCTGGGAATGTCAAGCCAGTATTGATAGTCTCGCCGAAGCTCGTTTATGTGCTCGGACGTTTTGACATTCGCGTAAGTCAGCTAGTGGGAAAGTTCGACGCGCTATCATTGCCGAGGCTATCACCGAGGTCGTAGGTCAGAGCCGAGCCGATGACACATACGTACACACATCGCGTAAAACGGTGAAAATAGATAGCACCACCGCCTGGAAGTAATAGGAGGAAGCCATGCTAGCTGCCAACTCTCGACTTCCTGATATCGTCGATAACGTTCTAATGCTTGGCAAGTCTAGTGCAGGATTGGAAATAATTTGAGATCGACTCTTGTATCGACGAATATTTCAATATTCAAAGCGAAACTTTTGAAATAAATCACTCGACGAGTGATCGTTTTTTTTTTCTGTCGAAAATCATCTCGTAGTCGATTCTGGGATATGTTGTGCGCATACGTATCATCTATTTTATCGTAAAATTAGCTTCAGCTCAGGTAATGAACAAAAATTAACTTAGAATTAATTACTGCAATGACTTACTTTAATAACTCACTTTAATAATTTAATTTTAATTACATTTTATTTTTTTATTTCAGAGCTGCTTATAATCTTTCTTTTATAATTATAATTATTGATTTGAGTATTTTTATTTTTATCAGTATATATTTATGTTTTGTCAGCATATATATTTCAACATATTTACATATTATATAATATACCTATACACTTATTATTGATATTGCTAATCGTAAAATAATATAATTTGAATACTTAGATTATCTTCAAACTAAAAAGATATAACTGAAATTATTATATCCTTATGGATACTATACTTTTATTAAAAGAATTTATCATTAGAAAGTTAAAATTACAGATTCAGGATTGCAATTTTATATATTATTTGCGAAAAACACTAATTTGTTACAATATTTTCTGTAACAATGTATATGGTAAAAAATATTTTTATTGTAATTCGTCTCGTATCGAAATTTTACGGTATCACAATAATACGTAAGTACTATCGAACGTCTTATTCATGTGATACATATAGGGCCGATTGCGTCGAATTCGTATGTTAATCGCGGGATCTCGCAGTAATCCGCAGTAAGCTCGGTGCATGTACAATCGTCATAACGCGGTGGCAACCGCGAGTCAATGAGATGACGGTAGGAGAGACGGCGGTTTTGGTAACGCATGCCGCACGCGCTAACGCAATCGCGCAATCGGCCGCAATCATTTTGATGACTGCGAATCGTCGGCGATAACCGACGAAATGGAGATGATGATTGTCGTGTAGGAAGGTCCTCTAAGTAGACCGTTGTGTCTTCGTTCGCGGATACGTCGCGATATACATCTGTGTCAACCGCGATTTGTCACTGACCTGGGCCCGCGTAATAATGGCACGAGAATCGACCGAGGAAGCATTTGTTCAAATGTCAGTTCTGAGTCATGTAATGGACAAATCCTTTTCAGGCTGCCTATAGATATTGTACTTTGAATAATTTTAATCAATATTAGTGAGAGATGTAAATTGTGAGAAATCACTAACTTTTCGCTCAAAATTTTTATTATTTTTTAAAGATAAACAGTGACTTTGAGAAAACGCTTTGCAGTTTGCCTTATTACCGCTAAATTGTCTGAATCTGATTTCAAGGTGCGTGTGTATGACAAACAGATTCATTGCATGAAATAACCGACGGAAACAATTTCTTTGAAGAGCTCTTGTTTAGTTTTTATCTCAATTTATGAGGAAAATATTTAGCAATTTTGCACAAAATAATATAATAGAATATTAATTATTATTTTTTAATGTTATTTTTTAATTACTTGAGACTAAATTGGTTAAGAACTTCAAACATTTTAAATATTTCTCTTGTAACGCAGGAAGTAAAATTTCTGTCCATTAATTCATTGTCATCCGCCTTTGCGTTCGCATGCGTTGCATGTCTCCGCATGCTTGTAGTTACATTTATCTAGTTTTACATGGCACGCTCGCTTTCTTTGGCATTTCTAACAAATTGCACGCCTACGATGACGTTTGCCTAACGAAACGAGCATGGTAAATCGAGAAAGGCGAGCAAAAACTGAAATACATTTGTAAGAAAGAGCGTAACAGCAATTCTCTCTCCAAAATTGCATGTATTGAATTTCCATCTTTGCGAATGATTTCAAGGTTACGACGAGATATGTCGTAACCGGAAGTTCAGAAAGGACACTTGGAGAGACGGAAGAAGCTATAATGAAATTAATTGAGAATTTCGTGTCGAGTCTAATTGAGCTTCGTCGGCGATGACGAAGCCGAGGACAGAACCGATCTAGAAGAATCGCGAGCGAAATTTCGCAATTCTTCCCACTAAGTCCCCGCTAACTAATGTGGGAAACCGCCAAGGCTAATTGCATAGCACCGTAAGTTGGCTGTCGTATTACTCCCTATCTTGATGCGAATGCTTAATTGAGTACAGGAAAAGATACAAAGTTTTCCATTGAATTTTACGAACTTGGTACACAAAGGTGATGAATGCCGTAAGCTGTATTTTTAGCGTGATGTTCTTATACTGATAATCAAATAGCGAGCTTCTGCTGAACGTGTCCTTTTATAGCGAGTCATGCGGCTTCTTGTATGCAGAAAATATTGGTTGCACTAGCAAGTAAGGAGATAGTTAAAATTTGTACACTTTTTTTATTTCTATTAATACCAGATATTATTAACCAAATATCAATCATATATATTTACCGGTATTATTTTTGTACTCTTATTTACTGTGCATTCACCGCCATGACAGTCATCACTGACTGAGCTTCCCATTTACGCCTCATCGATGATCGATGAGGCGTCATGGGCCGATAGTCAAATACCTATACATATCATATATATTTTTATACAATTCAATACTATAAATTTAATTAAGTATTTCACTGTTCTTTTTAATATAAAATAATCTAATTTTATATTAAAAAGCGTGAAAGAAAAGTATACTAAAATACCTTTTGTAGTGAATGTATTAAATAGACATATTATCGTTATAACATACAATTCTAAACAACGAATCTTTAAAATAAACATATTTACATCAAAATATAAGTAATATTTAAATAAAGAGTAATAATGTAAAAATTCATGTGAAAAATTCTTTTTTGTTTATATGCTTATTTGTTTGCAATTTTTATTTTCATATTGAAAAATAAAGGTCAAACTGTTTGAACAAAGGGCTCGTTCTTTGTCACGCAAATAAAGGTGAAGATTGTAGCTATGCAATGCTACGTTACGCGTTTGGTGCACGCGTATTGCATCAGCATAAAAGGATATATATATGCACGTATTATTCCATAATACCTGCAAAATCGAATCTTGCATTCTAGGCTCTTAATCCGCCTAGTCTCCCACAATTATTCGTCATTATACTTTAAGCTCGTCCGGCTGACTGGCCGGCCGAGTTTCTGCGTGTGATTTGACTCGACGCGCATCCCTAAGCGAAGCGCACGTAGTACGCATGTCATCAATAACGCCACCATGATTACGAACGTTTGAATTATTGGCGAACTTCGATGAATGGAACGGATCACGGCGGATCATGGTTCCAATACCGTATTTTGGTTCGCGGCTGCTTTAGTCACACCGATTCGAAAATGAATTTTAGTATCGATATTTGGTTTTTGTCGGGTGCACCCTTGTTTAAAAATAAAAACCATTGTTAAATTGTATAAATAAGCATTTTTTTCAATATATAACTTGTCACAAATTGAAAGACACATAAATTTCAATACATTTTAATAAATGATCATATTTCTTGGTATTTACATAATATTTACATTTTTAGTATGTAATATCTTCTTTAGTACATAGATTAATCAGAGTTTATTAACGATATTTCATGCTAATCAAATATAGTTTCAATAGAGGAAAACATTTGCGAAAATGTTGATGATACGAGTTTGCGCTATCTGTGGAGGCGTAATGCATAAACGCTTCCACGTATGAGCTCATGCATCTTGATTCGTAATAAATCATTTTGGAGAGATGAATCCTTCGCATTAATCTGCACACGACTAGTCGTACATAATTAACGTTCATTCATGCTGTTACCTCTATAGTATAGTACGACGATTCGTGGAAAAATGAAATCATGCGGTGTCCTGCGAACTTTTTTAATCACCGCTGGTTTCTACGTTTGTTTAATCGTTGTCCAGTGTTTGTGCGATGAGTCAAGGGTACTCAAATATTGTTCTCGTGGCCAACAAAGCAGAAACGGCCGAAATTGTCTCTGTACGATTTTTAATGATTTTTGGATATGTTGTAGAGCAGCTCGAAATAAGAGAGATTATAAAAGCTATTTCAACATATATTTGCTTACGAGTGAACGTTTTGTGAAATATAAATATATGATTATGTGAAGTACTTTTAGCTTCATAATATTTTATTTAAAATCTCTCTTATATGTCTCGTGATTTTTCCGCGAAAATCAGAGGAATAGAAAAAATAAGAGCGATTCAAAAAATAAATTTTGAGAGAAACTCACATTTTTTTAATTTGGGGAACATTATTTAAACGACAAAAAATATATATGTAATACATGTCTCTTATTTTGGGTATTCTCGCAACAAGGTAATTAAAACCGCAGAGGGATGGTTGCGGTCGTGCTCTTGTGTTTCTACAACGTGCACTTCCTCGAGGCACGCTTTCGCTTACGGTCGAACTTTCGGCGCGTAAACACTACCGGAATCTTATCGCGCGCCTCGGACTCTGGATGCGCGTTGCATCGTCTTCCGGTTCGCGCCGCTCTCGCTCGTTCATTCATACGAATTAACGGACCCTCGTAAATTGTACGCGACGAGCGGCGCGGCGCGTCCGCCGCAATTAAGCGCGATTGTGCCGCCCAGAGAGTCGTTTGTTCGTCATCGCGCGAACGCAATGAATTCGTGTCATGCCAGAAGATGTCGGCCGGATTAGGCCGCGAGCCGAATTGAGAGAATGACCGAATGCGCGCACAGTTTCGTCGTTGTCTACCGCGCGACAAATTGATATTAACCGAGGAATTACGCGCCGCCGCCTAGCCGCTTGTCTCGCCGTCTCGGAACTTTTTCTAACCATAAATTGAAGTTCGTCACGCGGTGACTGTGCTAAGTTTCCTAATTTGTAACACGTCTGGAGAGAAATTTTGTAACTTTTTGTCGTTATGTGAAGAGATAGGGTAGATAGAGCTACGGCAGAGTGTGTTACGTCACCGTTATCTCTCTTGTTAACGAATTTGATGAATTCGGAGTAAATTTTTTTTTAGCGTAAATTTGTTCTAATTGGGGAATTTCTTATTATTGAAAGTTAGAGATAAGATAACTATAAACCGGTGATAAAATCTTGTTTTCCAGTCACTTTTAACTTTAGTTCGACAACACATTTTAGTTCGAAGTTATAAATTAAAATGCTTATAACATTTAATAATGAAAAAATTGTAACGTATAATGGTTTTATATCAAATGTTTATTAAGTATGTCTATTTTATGTTCTAGGAGCAGAGAGTTGTGTTGGATTGTTTTGGATGATACAGCAAAGAAGAGAGACTAATGCAAGGTAAGAATAGAATAAAATGTGATGTTGAGATGAAGCTCTGTTGACTGTCACGTTACATCACTGACAGCATTTCAGTGGTAAATATCTCAATAAATGTAAAAATATTGCGTGAGGAGAGATTTGCAACGGGTTATCAAGAATATTTTCAGTTCTTTTTTGTCGAGTTGGTGTTTTTCACCGACGATCGGTTTACAAGCGTAAATATGAAAATAATGGATTGGCGTTTAATAATAACTTTTCTAATAATAGCTTTTCAACACATCCATAGTCGCAAATAGTCGAAAAAATAAATAACAGAGTTTCTCTAGAAACTATTGAATTTTTATAATAATATTATAAATTATAATAATTTATGACTATTTTCTCTTTGTCTCGATTTCTGTCTCTTGAAAATTTTAAATTACTTAAGAGTCAAGAAACTTCAAATTATTGATAAGACCAGAATACAATCATCGAAGGATTACATCACGATGTAATTTTTAAATTGAGAACGGTGTTAACATGTCATAATTATGATATAACTATGGGAAAACACTTTCTCCTCAAGTCATGCTTTAATTTGTGCTATTTGAGATGAAGATTAATCACATTACGTGCAATTCCGTTTTATGTGTATATACATTGTGTTATTTTTAAATCATTTGTGTATGTACCTTCATACATCTTGGTTAAGATTAGATAATTAGGTAATTAAGATTAATTATATATTTATATCCTAGTATAAATTATAATTACAATCCTACAATTCTCATTAGTGTTCTCATTAGCGAAAAAAGAACATAGACCTTTTTTACAATGTGTATCAGTAACATCAATCAAGATTTACTTAAATATAGGCTTGACTTAAATCCGTAGTTAATGAAAAATATACTTGGCAGTTCAAATAACTATTTTGACCATCTTAATGCTGACGAGAGTGACGAGTATCCGATATTTTAGACCAAAATCACTATCGGTACTCACGAATATCGAGTTGTAGATTTTGTCGTAGAAAACGATGGGCGTTTTGAGGAGAACCTCGGCGGATATCAGCATTCCGTTATCGGTTTCGAGGGTGTTGGAGCCCGGTCCCGTGTACTGGTATAGATCCCTTTTGGACAGGGCTACGGTGAAGGGCGCGATTAGGGCCAGCACAAGGGCCAGCGAGCCCAGCAGAATGCTCCAGCGTGTTGCGCCGCGAGCCATTCTCTCAGACTGCCTTAACGCTACTGCTGTTCGACTTGGCTACGACGTCTCTTCTTGCTGCCCCCTAATCGCCTTTGCCCGCCGCTGCTCTCCGCGATCGGCGTGGCCGCCCGCCGTTGTTCCGCGTACATAAAACGCCACGCTCGCTTCCCGCGCTCGATGATAATTTCATGACACCGCACCGATCCCTACCCCCGATTCCGCTACTAATAGGCTAATGTGCAATCGAGTGTATCTCGAATGTAAATTCTTCAGCTCTTCTCTCTCTTTCTCTCACTCTCCATGAAGTGTTCGCGCTGTACGATGACCACTTGATGCGGTGATGTGCAGGTTCCTGCCGTGAATATAAGCATGCGGAATATCGGAGCAAATTGACAGATTTTTTTATTTTTTTGTACCTTTACAAAAAATATTGCGTTAAGTGGTTTAATTTATATCGATGGCGAAAGGTCTTTGAGAAGTTTAATTTTGCTGGATCAATATTATCTCGTGAAAGCGAAGTTGTTGACAAAAATCAGTTTATGCAATCATATACATCACGATTTATTTAAGCATACATTTTAATAGAAACGTTTTATTTGAAGAAGAGTAGCGCAGTCTGGTCCGATTAATTTGATTTTATTTACAGATCTAATTTTTTACTTATCTTACGACTCGTCTTAACGACTCGTATTATACTCGCAAAAATATTCAAAGTATTACGCGAAATACGTTATTATTTTTGTACGTTATTATCTTCTTTGGGAACGTGCACGTGAAATCTCATAACTAAAAAATATTTTCGACATTTAAGCCAGCAATAATTTATAAGACTACGAAAGTGTGATTTTAGTAATAAATTCGTAAATCACGCGATACGTATGCGTGATCAAATGGCGCGTGTGCATATGTACTGCGTATCATTCGCGTATATCGTTAACAGCGCGCTTATGTCAAGTATTCTCTTCGCATGTGAAACCGTCGTTGATTCAATTGTATCTTCGAACGATCCATTCAAATGCCGAGGTCTCGCGATTACGTGATGCATATTGTAATCAGCGCGCAGATTTTAAGGATTTAATTGTGACCATAATCGTATTTTATCTGTGATAAGCATAATTGGGCTGGAAGGTTACTCATCCCGCGACTAAATTGGCCGACATTACTGACGCAGTGATTTTCAAATATTGTTTCGCATTTCAATTGTATCGTTTTTTTGACATCGATGAATCCTTGTTTGTTTTAACTATACAATTTTTTACTTAAGAGTCTTAAGTTATTGTTTATATTTTTATTGTAATTTGATTTTTTTAATTAAATTAATCTCAGCTTAATGTCGCGGAAACATAATTGTGAGTAGTAGAATTATTTGTTCACTGCTATATTATCTTAATCTTATCATTATTTAAAAAGATGTGATTACTATTACAATAACCGGTCAGCTTGTTGCCCACCGTCTATTAAGGCAAATTGACATTTAACCGTCGCATTGAATTTTGATAGAGCTCCTCGTCTTTCATCCGTGTTGCATTATTATGCTCGCTCATCCGTCACGTAATTTCTCCGAGACGGTACGCGATTCATCTTGAACGTCGTGCCCGTTTTCTACGCGAAGTCGCGTGCAGCCGCGCATTGTGAAACAAAGTATCAACCTCGACGGACAAATGGAGGTGGACCTACATTCGCATACGCCGCCGAGAATTGCGTCCCCCGGCCTAGAGCGTCTCAATAAATTGTCTCAGAAATTCGTCAGGGTCGACTCTCTTTCCAGCGCTAATTCACTTGATGATATGTGAGATATTATTGCGGTAGTGACGTAAGCCACATTAAAAACAAAAAAGAAAAATTTGAGATAGCTCCATCATTGTGTTATAAAGTGAGAAGATACGCGTATTTCCTTGCTGTATTTTTTTCGCGATTGAACCAAAAAAGAAAAAAATTGCATATTTTTACATCAAAATACGTATTTTTGTATGACACATTTATGATAGGGATAAATGGGACAGAAGATGATTCAGGATACACGTTGTAAATTGATCTTTATTACAAGAAATTACATGACTAATTTGTACATATAAAATATAAATATAATACAAGTACTATGATACAGAGTGTTTTCCAATGGAAAAGTGGAAGTAGATCGCTAGTTACAATTAATAATTACTATCACTATAATTCGTTATTATTACTGTTGTATTTACGGCAGATGGACTGACACGCTCTTGGCAATGCTTTTAACTCAGGCTGAACTTAGACACGCGACGATAGGTAAATAAACATCACATGCGAATTTTAATGTTCAATGTTTTTACGCGATCAGCCATAAGGATATCTTCTTCAAGAAGGTGGAAATGATTTATTTCCTGAATATAGTTCTCGTTGAGAAGATGCTACATAAAACGTTACATTTTCAATTATATATAATTATCGCAGCCGATCGCGCGACAATTCGAATGATCGATTAGCAAGAAAAATCGTCAATTGTGACTCTCTCGCGATAAATAATCCGTTCAACAATATATCGGGTATTTATTTTCAACAGAAGGAACTGAAAGCAATGACGACGGATTCGGCGGCGAACTCACATCTTTGATCATCGGTGAGTGAGACACGGAGAAACGAGTATATAGGATCTTTTCTATTCGTGGAATACAAATTTGTGTGCCGATCAGTAATCTGACGTCGTGAAGAAAATGATCGTTCGTGCCTTTGATCCGCATATATATTTTGTATTCAACATTAAGTGCAGCTAATAAATTTAACAATCCGTAACAATATATGAATTGCAATTTTCACTCTCAAAATTATATTAAAGATACTAGTCAACAAAAACTCATTTTAGATGCCTGCATTAATGTTAAATACGAAATATAATACGGACCTGCGTGTACGTGTGACGATTGGTCGCGTGTGTTACTCACATTGGTATTGTTTGCATTGTGTGTATGTACGTGTATTGTGTGTGCGCGCGCGCTTATATATTCATATACATATATGTGTGTATCATGCATAAACGAACCTCAAGATATAACAGTTCGGGACGAGAAAAATGGGTGGTTTTTCATCGATATTGGCCGTCGGTCCACCACGACTCGCATCAGAAAACTAGAATACCTCTATTTCTGCCTCGCATTACTCCCAAACCGATTTATTTTCATCCCATCTATTTTCATTCTCCCCGGCCTCATCCCCGCCTGCGCTGATATCCTATCCGTGTCCTCTCTTCGCGTAACATTCTCATGTTGGAAACGAGATTTCGGGTGTTCGTTCCTCTCCCGCCTCTCTTTCTTTTTTCTTCGTCCAGTTTTATCAATCCAGGTATGAATAGCACTCGCACGAATCGAGCGTCTCTTACGATTAGCGAAAGTTTACGGTTTATACTTACTCTCATTTCTTTTCTTTTTTATCTTTCGTGCGCACGTTCTTTCTTTCTCTCACTCATTCTCTCTCTCTCTTTCTTTCTCTTTCATATATTCTCTTTTGCGTCTAAGTGAGTTACGGAACCCTACGAAGTGCGGTAACTGCTGATAACGATTAAAGCTACGATAATACCATGAATTAACGTGCGTGCATTAGATACATTACGTACGGCGCGTTTTGTTTATCAATTGTTCGTTAGTCGTATAAAAAGGTCTTTTTTGCACTCTTTTGGCAGTGCGTTGCTCTCATTTGGCTTTTCCTCAAAACCGAAGCTCGATTTTTCCATGAATAAATTTGCATCTATTTCTAATACTTTAATGTCCGTCATTACGAGTCATTTCCATTGGCAACTCAGATTAGCCAACGTCATTTAACGATTTCTTCTCTTTCCCGGGATTGTAACCCTAACGATAACATAGAGAAAAGACAAAATTCAATCAATCGTGACTACTCTTCAGATAGCGGCCGACACTCAATTGTCGACATTGTGCAATCGAGATTGCTCGGATAACTATATATCTGATTTACAATTGTTCATGATTGGCTTTCTCTAGTTTTTTTCGATTTTTACTGTTTTAGTCCGCAGTCAATTGTTATTTCTTGATTGACATGATTATGATATTTATGATGAATATCGACACGTTTCTAGATTGAGATGAATATTTCTAGCCTATTGCGACAATAAAAGACTATGTGCAACTTCATCCGCTTCTATTCGTCGCTGTTCCCGATAAATACGTGGTTCGGCCGATTGGCCAACAGTCTTTAGGTCCGGAAATATCTCTTTCTCTCTCTTATAATTTACTAATGGCATCAGATAGAAAATGGCAGCGACAGTGTTCCAAATAACTCTGACGAATAATAGACGTACGAACAAAGCACCAACTTCTCACGTTAAAACCATTAAATGCCGATATAAATGCGGCGAAAACATCGCGTTCGAAACTGAGAATCGTTTCGCTATTGTAACAACCGCGAAAAATTATCTAACATCTTCGTTCTGTATCCTGAGAAACATCGTTGAAACTGAACCAACCGCGAAATCTTTAACATGAATACACTTTTCGTTATAACTCCATAATATAACTTCGATAAGACACGTGCGTGTGCGTGTACGTGTGCGATATCTCGGTAAAAACTTTTACTTTAGCTCTCTTTATTTCTCGTTTAATCTTCCTAGTACCGTTTTAGATTTAACAATAGTGACGACGTACGATGACGATGACGATACCACGATATATCATTAACAACTATTGGACGGAGTCGAGCGACATCGACGTCATTATTTGTTAATTTTATTTCATTCTATTCGGCGACTTCGCTCGTCTCGTTTCAACGATTATAAATTCGTAGGTGGGTGGGCGGGATTGGCGATCAACACGCGGTCATGCGTGCTGATCTGAGTCTACGTTAGGTGATCTGAATCTCGGTCGATGTCGATTGTTGAGGGCAGGAATCGAAGCAAGTGATCAGAAGAACGTGGCTCTTACAAGCCTCTACTCTCTTCTGCAAAATGCATGTTTCAGCCGTTAGAGCCTCCAAAAACGACGGGTCCCGCCAGTCCATACCGTCCTCCACGTACACTATTTTTGAAACAAACAATGAAATGTGTGATCGCACATAAGAGCACTTCGTGTCAGTAATAGGTGTTCACTTTAACTTTCTAAATTCTGTTTTTTTTTTTTATATAATATTTTGTGTGTATAAGCATTATTTAAATCGTAAATGTGACTAATCTAATCAAGTTTAGTCGAACATACACAAAAATGTTATACGATTCATTAGTTCAATTATAACAAATTGATTAATCAGATCAATTGTGCACTCGTTTATTTTTGTATAAATATTGTGATATATAGATTCTAGATTGAAAGACGGATTATTTCAGAGCAATAAGTACTTAAATTGATGCGGCAAAATTTGAAATATCTGTACGAAAATTTTTATTCAAATATCGTTAGTAGAGGCCGATACTTACGATTGTAGTCCCAGCGGGTGTCGGGTACCATGAGGCGCCTCTTAGCGTCACGTAGCTCCATCCTAAGAAGGCGCTGGCGCAGGCGTAGGTTGTGTATCCTGGACGTCGTTCCACGTGGATTCGAGCGCACCCGTGCGCGTCTGTCCAGGATGTCTACGTCCTCGCCTGTATATGCGAGAATCGCCGACGACGCCGCGGGCGGCCCCGGCTGAGCCCGGCAGTGGGCCCGCGACCGCCGAGGCCCGCACCCTGCCGCCCGCTGTTCCACCGCTGAAACACCCGCACAACGTCGAAGTTAGAACCCCCAGTGCGCCACCTGAGGAGAATCATCGTACGGCAGGATCGTTTTAGAGGGCTTGCGTTATCTTTTCTTAGGGATGTGAAAGAGCTCTCGACCAATGTTTTCGTGCTTTGCGTACATGAGCGGAGTTAGGTAGAAAACAGAGTGGAGTTACGTCAAGTTAAAGTAAGATAAATAACGATCGATGGAGCAGCAAGGTTTCCATACCAAGCGCGTAGCCGGAATACTCGATTGACCGCATGTATAAAGAAGTGGATTTTTCTAGAATTGTCTACTATATTTTATTTTCAATATAAATTTTATTGAATTTTTGTTTCAATTTTATTTTAGAAAAGTAGATTAATTTATTTTCTAATATGCACTGTGTCGCAAAGTAACTTTTGTAGTCGTGACGTCAATCGCACTTTTTTTTTAACGGATAGCCAAAAGATATTTGTCAATTACCTTGATGTTCCTGTAACGCGCCAGTCTGTCGGGATGAGTCGCTGGCGATGCTGCTCGTCTCGCTGTCTCTAACGATACTGTCGTAACCGGAGCTCTCGGCACGATGTCTGGACAGTGTAGCCGGCGACAGCTTGGTCGCCCGCGGCGTTGTGTCCGCGCCGGAATCGGAGCCCTCCTTGTTTAGACCGAACGAGGAACCAAGACTAAGAATCTTGCGTTGCATTCGTCCGGAGGACGGCGCCGGAGACTGCATTGGTAGCTGCAAGGGCGTACCTCCTGAAATATAAATAAATTGCAGTGCAGTTTACTGCATGCCGTTAACCCTAGCGAACACCACACTGTGTTTAGCACCTCTACCTATTGTAGCCATACGTCTACTAAACGGCAGATGAGGCCGTTGCTGCTGCGCAGCATGGGGAATCGTAGAGAGAGAACAAAAGTTTATTTACCTTATCACTTCGATTCCCTAAAGCTCCTTACACAATGCGAGGCGATAGCGATAGTGATAGCGAGAGAGACAAAATTGCCGACAAAGCTACAGCATTGAGATACACGGCTTCCGATAGGTGTAAAATCTTGTCGCTATCGCTATCACTATCGCCTCGCATGGTGTAAGGGGGCTTAACTTTCACTATATTGTAGAAACTGCGGGCATTTTTAAAATAAACATAGGGTGCCCAGTGTGGTGTCCTAAGATTAACATCAAGGGAATGCAGTGTCGATTTATTTTAATTATTTCATCATTTTAATTATTTAAAAAGGAAAATTTATTGAAGTGTGCGATTTTGTCACTTATATATAAAGGATGCTATAATTTAAATCTGCGTTGACGTCTCTAATTAACGTGAATCTTCAAAAAGATGTAAAAGCATCTAAAAAAAATATCTTGGAGTAAATTCGTACCTTGAATCTTCAAATCTTCCTCGATATCGGACTTTCCCGTGACCGTTCTCTCGGATCTCTCGGCAGCCGTAAACAGCTTCTTTGCCTCAATGTACTCCTCCTCGGGATCCGAGCCGGATGCTCCGTTTCCGGGTATCCTTTCGATCTCCTCCTTTAGATTAGGATTCGACGCACCGTCCGGATGCCTCAGACTGGAGATATTACAGTCACCCAGTTTACCACAGTACCTTCTAGGACTGGCGAGGTGGGCGACACTGCTGGGGTACCAGTAAGAGGCCGTGGCCGGCCTAGACATGCTCTGACGACAATTATCGCAGATCTTCTCCTGATCGGGTTTGCCGGCTATGTATGCAGGTTCGCTGTATATGCTGCCATGATTGCTCGCGTTGTCGTTGAACAAGACATCCGAAAGGGATAAAGACTGACAGCGAGACGGCGGACGGAAGACGGTCGCTGCTGGAATTTGTCCTGCGTTAATGTTATACTGGATGTAGACCGCAGATAGCTAGCTGTAGTGCCTTGATTAGAATTAATTACTTTTTATAGAAACGATTTTTCGTCCCTAATCGAGTAATCATGATTTTAATTCTTTTATTTGAAGTATTGCAATTTTGTTGTATTTCGGAAATCTCAATCGGATTTCTCAGATCTACTTGTCAATCGTCAATAGAATCAGAGTGCAAAAGCATTATCGTTTGAGCAAAACTGTTTTAGAACTATGTTAAAATTTCGTAGAAATCATTTTTAACGTATCACGACGAACATGTAAGAGATTACAAAGCTCATGTATGACGCGAATAATCCTGACGAGCGAATAGATAGAAAACGTCCATCTCCGGGAGGATTTGACATCGCGGGCAGTAAAGGATATTTGTCCGTCTTTCTTTTTGTCTCTTTTTGTCCCCGCGTGGCTGACTGAACATTCAATCGCGAAACTTACATGGAGCGTCTCGCACGTTGACGGTGGAGGAATTTTCCCTCTGGTAAGTTACAGAGTTGGAAACGTTGGCGAGCGCGAGTTTGCTTTGGTAGAGCTCGTGAAGGCGGGCCAACTGATCGAACTTGTGCCTGGTCTCTTGCTCGAGAAAGTCTTCGTGGTCGAAGTACGGTCTGGGCAGAACACCCGCGGCGACCGGCGGTGGATAATGCGGTCTGTATCTCTCCGTGTCCGACATCACCGACATTGAGTCTGAAAATGATTTTGTCTGTCTCATATCTCTTACTCGTCTAAGTTCATATACCTTGCCGCGCAAGAAGCCGCCCGATGGATAAGAACGATGGAAAAAAATAATACTAGGCAGCTGTCTGCTTTGGTTTCGAGAAATGGGGGCAACAACGTGTAATTGCATCGGGGTTTCTCTCTTCGAAGGAAGTGAATTATTGTTTTCTACCGCATGGCCTATTACGTGCTTTTAGTCGAAAAGTCGATTTCGCGCGATGATGTCAGGAATAGTTTTTCGTAGAAGTTTGTTCAAGTGCTCGTTACGGAAGCAATCGCAGGGAGACGAAAGTTTAAGTAGTTGTACGTGAAAGAAAAACATTTACAAAAGTTATTATATTGACTTGGTCAAAATTACACCTTATAATAAATTTAACTACTCGGTCTTCGCATATTAAAAGTACGCAGCAAATGTTTATTCTAAAGTATAATCAATATTGAAATATGAGTAGTTGAGAAATTGACTGTTTTAAAAAAGAATATACATGAATAAATGCAAATTTTTTAATTGACTGTTTTAAAAAAAATATATACATGAATAAATGCAAATTTTTACTTACCTGTGAAAGTTGATACCACAGTGAGATTCTCTTGGCTAAGAATCCTTAGAGGATGTTCTTCCTGATCGCTTTCGGGTAACGGATTCTCACCCATGCAGAGCGCAATGTCCTCCTCGGTCACCTGAAGACACGAGTCTTGCATAGGTACTGGCTCCAAATCTTCCACTTCAACGATCTCCAAAATTTCGTCCTCGGAGGACAACGAGTGTCTGGAGGGTAGAACAATGTCCTTGTGCGACAGATTCAGACTTTCCATGGATACCTCTCGGCTGACACCGTTGCTAAGTGGTTCAATCAGCGGCAGCGGAGGTGGTACGACAATTTCTTCATCGTCATCTTCGTCGTCCGGCAGATCGAGTTTCCCTTTTTCGATGCTGTCATCCATCACCGGGCTAGCCGTCAGATCTAATCCTGAATCCGTATTAGACTTGACGTTAAGTAGATTCAGCTTGGCACTCAGTTTTTCGGTTATGTCCTCGATTTCGTTCGCTTTCAAACTATCGCTCTCCACGGTAGACAACGACGTATCGTCGTCGTCCGCGCCGCCGCAGGTTTTAAACTGAGTCAGCTCCTTGAACTGGCCGGATGACTGGCCGGAGGACATCTTCGACGACTCGAGTCGCGGCGTGGCGTGTTTCGTCCGTTGTATTTGAGACGATTGATTTTCCACCCACTTTCTGATCATGCTCTTCTTGTGACTGTCCATGAAACCGTAACCGGAGGAATGCTGATGCGCGTGCAGTTGCAGTGCCGGCGAGCCGGTCAGTTGCATTGGTCCATCGATCCATGTTTCTCGTTTGTGATGAGAATCCTTCAGCATATGTCTCGCCTCCGCGACCTTCGACTTCGAGATCCTCGGTCCGTCTATCCACTGCTCGTCGGACCCGCCACTCGGCGCTGCTACCGGTATCTTACTGCTAGGTGAATCGTTGACTTTGGACGCCGAAGCGCTTTTCGACGAGGAGTTTTTCCTGGCCGGACTCGCTTTCGGCGTTGCGCTATGCGCCGGCGAGGTCTGCTTCGACGCGGTCTGCGTCAACGTCTTCACTGTCTTCGAGGACTTGTGAGCCGGACTGCGCTCCTCCGGAATCTTGCTCGGTCTTTCGGCGGCGGAACCGCGAAGCACTCTGCCCATCGCGCAACGATTATCACCCGAATTTAAGCTGGGTATGTAGACGGGCGGATGCTCGCCGTCAGTAGCATCGTCGGCGCTCGGCCCAACGTAGATCACGGTGTCGGCCGACAGATCGCTCGAACTCGGATCGCACTCGCTATTTTGTCGAGCCGCTTCCTCGCCGGAACTGCCGCCGCTTCCGGTACCCTGCGTGTTGCTGCCGACAAACTTGATTTTTCGGCGCCGCATCCGATGGATCCTCGACGCCAATTGAACGGTGGTCAATGTCTCGGCGTAGTGCTGGGCGTTGGGTGACACGTGAGCTATCATGGCCGCGTGACAAGTCAGAGAGCCGAGGCACTCTTTCAGCAGTTGAGTCAGCTTGTGCTCCTTGTACGGTAAGTGCTTCTGGCCGTTGAAGATCGCGAGCAGAATGTTGCCCAGACCGGAGAGGGGAATTCCACCCGAGGATTTCCCGCGCTCCGAGTTTCCCAGATCCATTAAATGTAACCGGCTTCTACCACCGGCAACTGCGCAGTCGAGGAAGCGTTTATTTTGAATATCATGCGTATAAAGCGAGAGGAAATGCGAGAAAATAACGCAAATATCATGTATATACTTGAACTCCGAAATAACGAAGGGGAATGCGTGTAATCAGCGTTTGAAATGCTACAGAGTAATCTCTTTTCCAAAGGGTACACGTTCCCGCGTCTTCAGACGGAAAGCGAAATAGCGATAGGATTTCGAGATGGAATTATTTACCTCCACCCTTGCCAGCGACGCTGTACTGGTACACGTGCAGCGTGTAAAGCATATGCGCGTCGCCGTCCTCCCGTTGACGACCGGCGACCGCCGCGTCGAGATAGAATGCCGCGCGTTCCGCCGTCGGCGCGCGGAGCTCGCTGTGCTGCTGCAATTGAAGAGTACCAAACAGCGGATCGTCTCTGAGGTACACGGCCGGCGATTGTTCCGAGTCTGGGAATAAAAGAACCGCCGGTGTTACGTAATGTTTATCTCGCATTTTTACGTCTCGTACAATACAATACGTCGCCAAGAAGATACGATGCGAATTTCACAGCGAATTCCTTTACATAATCTCGTATCTGTCGCAGACATAATTTTATTTTCGCCACATACCGGAAAAATTCTTCAAGTTAATACGATAAAACTTTTAATATTTTATTATTGACATTTTTTTCATCTCGTAATATAAATGTGTTCTAGATGTACGTGCTACGCTCGCGCGTGTATGTGCGCCTATCTTTTATCATGTTATATTAGCGATACGACGTGAGAGTATATAGCTATCTATAATATTTCAACAATAAAGAAATAATGAAACCCAAGCTCTCTTGGCTTTGCTGCTTCAAACAGATGCATTCCGTGTGTGCGTTCTGTTCCAAGTTCACGTAAGCTCCCTAACACATTCTCCGTTTATTTGATTCCATTATTTGGCGGAAAAATAATATCTGCGAAGGACAGGGCGACATGGGGATCGAGATGCAGGTGCGCACTACTCGGAGCAGTAAATCGGTCGAAGCGAGGCTCGAGATATCCACGGGATGCCTCGTCCTGAATTACGACGTCGATAAAACGTTGGAAGATACGTGGCAAGAGATACCTATACGTTTCGCTATCGTGCTTTATCATGCATTCCGTATCCGCGCTGGGGACGGTCGATAGGCGGGCCTATATGCGAATAATCAACGTAATGCGAAACATAACGGTAAATAGTGATCAGCGTAAAAGGGCAATTACGAAGTTGGTGAGATACGGGCCCGTGGATCAGGTGATCAGACAAAACAACCTTTCTATTGTTGTTGCTTTGTCGTGCGAATAAAACAGTCTGGTAGTAAAAGAGACACAGTTAAAAGGATAGTTAGAACTCCGACAAAGAGTTCTAAGAAGATCCCGAAGAAAGCACTGCGAACTGTTAGTTATTTCAAGTTGAACACGATGGTGAATATCGCGATCGCTAATGCGAAATAATAAAATAAATTGAATAAGAATAAAGAAACCATAAACGAGAAATTCGATGACTCGTAGATTGTACTTCTTATGTATAACACGTGAAATTAAAACTGTAAAATTAAATTTTGATTCTCCTCGTATAGGATGTTTTATATTTCTTTTTATTTCTGTTATTTGTGATCTATTAAGGTATATCATACGTAGGGAAAACATTCTGCAATAGTGATTTTATACATAGGAGATAAATGCAAAATAAATATCTGAAATCGATATGCGCATTAAAATTCGTTCATTGTACTGGAAAGATGTTTCAAACCATAAAATATGAAACAAAGGGAAGAAAGCGGCAGTCACAAATATCTCGCTCGTATCGTACACTTTCACGTCGTTTTTCGCGCAGGAATATTTGAGACCGTATGTCCCACGCGCGAGGGTGGATTGAAAATGCAGACTAAGGATTTCCTCGCGCCGTTGCACCAGAATCCGGTAGCGATCTATAAGAATGCTCGTAAAAAGTTGCGATAGCGAATTTATGCGGATTTTCGATCAGGAAACGCCCCGCACTCTATAAGTTGGGAAAAAGTTGTGGATGAAGACGGACAAAAGTGCTATTACATTTTCGCTAGGATTATTTACTTGTGGAACAATATGAACATTTCATGGGATGTAAATACGAAAATTTGAGTAATATCGAAATTCTCGGACATAAGCGCATGCTCACAGCTAAAAAGTTCGCCTGAAAAATAGCTAGAAGGAACGTAAATATTGTTGAGAGCATGACGTTTGACAATATACTCCTTTCACGCTCCGCGAGACGTGAGAGGTCCATAAAAGCGCCAGTATACGGACGAAAATTTAATTCGAGTAATGCTTCTCGAATACCTAGCTTTATGTCCGGAAACGTGCACATTCGTCCGTCTAAAATGACTTCACCTCACCTCACCTCACAGAGTCGGACTGCACTATCCGCGCGTGTATTTTTACGTGGTCTCCTATGCACTCGGGATACTACGACTGATACGCTGGATGTCGTTTATACGGCGTTTATATACGGTATTTATACGGTGTTTAGATAACCCCCATCTCTACGTTCGCAAATTGCCAATTAGCCTTTTACTGCCAGGCGCAAACTCGTCTCCTATCACCAGGCACAACATCGTAAAGGACGCAAAGGAACGACGTTAAAGGATAAGAACGGTGCGCGGCGACATATGCCGTAGTTTATTTCCGCCGGGCCGTCTGCGACTTTTCACATCTGTTCCTGCCGGAAACCTTTTACCGTGCCTTTATACCGCGTCGAGGAAACGGCCGCAAGCCTCGCACCAAGTCCCGGCGAGCGAGTTCCATCCTGAGCTTCCGTTGAGTCATCGGCCGATTGATTTCGACTATTTCCGATCGTATTAGACGAGAGATACAGTTTGAGCTAGTTGCTTCGTTCGAGCAGTTGAGCGTGCGATGAGGGAACAAGGAGCACGCGCGAAAGCAGGAAGCAGGAGTATCCTCTAGACTTACCGGAGCCCCCTTGATTTCCGTAATTTGCGAAGTCCCGAGGAACCAACTTAACCGTAGTAGATGTTCGATAATGAAATTCGACGAGGCGTATCCGACGAAAGCGAGAGCGAGGGGAAAAGAGAGAGAGAGGAGCGACATCGGAATATTCGGGTAGATCGACGCTAGTGCGTGCCTGTTGTAGAAATTTAGATAATTCCACGGATCCCGTATACCAAAAGCCCTTAATAATAGAAGCGCGAAAGTGAGTGATAGCGCGCTAGACTTCGCGGGACTTCGTAAGAATCTGGATTAAGAGAGATATTAATATTTATGAGGCGCATGAAGTGTAGCCCGAATACGTCCGCGCGGTTTTACTGGCGGATATTTAAGTCGTTGTGATAAAGAATGGAAGAAAGTTGATAATTGTTAAAGTAGTAAGTAACACTACTTTATTGCGTTTAATAGTTAGAAATGATGTCGATACGTGGTCTTAGTTTGACTTGGGAAAATTTTTAAAAATTGATTTACGATTTATATATAACAGACACTTCTTGATATCTTCTTTGCAGAAAGATACTTCAACGCAACGTTATTATCCAATAGTTTTAAATAAATAGGAGTTAAATAAAAATATATCCATGATATATATTTATATGTAGAACAGTAACGAGTTTTATTATTACACGGTATTATACACAGTCTTGATCTCATATAAATTTCCCGATTCCTTGACCAAGGGTCGACGTAAACGACTCCGAAACAAAGCTTAAACTTCGCAACTGGAACGTGATACCCCGAAATTCACGACAGGCTACACATCGAGGTAATAATAAGGACGGGCCCCGACGGGTCTAGAAGCCGACGTTATACGGATATATGCGGCGCGTATATACACCGCTCGTGTATAATAATTCACACAGACACGAGCGTAGAAGTACGGTGCAGAAGCGCGGCATAGCAATATCCATAAAAGGGACCGGAGGATGTAATATTACCGGCATCTGTGTCCTGTGGTGCAGAAGTACCGCGAAGAAGGAGGCGACGACGACGACGAGTCCGCGACGTCGACAGTGTTACGACACGTGAAGCTCGCGCAGCGGGGAAAACGAAGAATGAAATGTGGCAAAGAAAAGTGATCTGCGAGCAGCACTTTCATCCTGGCACAGAGACGCGTAATGGATGCGGTTTCAGCTTAGAGCAATTGTTACGCCCGTTCGTGGCGTCGCGGGAGGTTCGAGAAAGGAAATGCCTCCACCCTCTCTTTCTGAATAAATCGTTTTTCGACGCGTTTCGAATACAGTTTCCGAGCCCGGGTCCCTTCGATCGTAACGGTCCTCGTCGTCGCTGGGGCAGAAAGGCAGTAAAGGAAATCTGTTTCGCCTTTCCGGACGGCCGGCTGCGCGTCGGTACGCGACTTGTTTCCCGAGTTTCGCAATATTTCCACGAGAAGTTTCTCGCCCCGAGCACGCATGACGTATCGTTATGAATCAGAGCCCCTCGGGACAGTTTCATTCGTTTGCATCATTATTAAAGGCGGTCGATATTACGTCGGGATTCAGAAGTTATTGGACAATGATAATCCTTTTACTGTTAAAGCCAACAATAGCGAATTAGATCATTAGAATGCATACGACATAACCATATTGTAAGATTATTAATATTGTAAGAAATTGAGTGATAAAGTAATTAATTTCTTTTGTAAAAGGAGTACGGATAATTCCATTGTTTTAAGTATCTTGATAAATTCTACCATTCTTTGAAATATAATCAATTGACAGGATATTACATAGAATTTGAACTGGGAATAGAATTATGCATGTACCTCTTTCTGGAACAAAGCAATTTTGTCCTTTACGGTTTAATAACGTCTTAGGGGTTTCAGACAGTTTAATATCCTGAAACACTTTCATTTCATGGACTCTCCAGAGAGACAAGTGACATCACGGTCATTGACACGAGTTTCTTAAAGTCTCCCTTCAACGATACGGAATATAAAATTTGTATTATATAACGTGACTCTCCCGAGAAATTGATGTTTATAATAATTCTAATTTAATTGAAATTTGTCATATTGCTCGTAAACAGTTCAGGGTGAATGTACATATCTATCATACGAGAAAATATAAAGTGCGTAGATAACTGATCAGGTGAATACATAACGTCGTCTAGTAATATTCGACAGATGATAACTCGAAGAGTATGTTTCACGTTAAAGTATCATACATCACTCAAAGTATTCTTGTTTCTCCGTTCACTTTACTACGTAAGAGTGCATTATAGAGACACGCCACGACCGGCTTTTTTCCGAAAGTGTCAAGATTGATATATCGACTGCAGAGGGACCTTCTCGTCCCTGCACGAGAATAAGGCAATGCCCGATTCACAAGACACCAAGCGTGTTCATATGCAATGTCGCGGGTCTTTTGGCGACGAAGAAGAAGAGGCGGAGGGAGAGCAGAAGAAAATTAACGAACCTTCGGATAGCGTATTAAAGTAGAAGGAGTCGGTGTTCA